TTCATCATTTTATTTCCCGCAAACCGTACCAGCTACCCCCCTTGCCTCCCCTCGTGGAACGCCGGTGGAGCCGGTGAAAATTCGAGAAAACAACACAAACTCAACTTTGAAGTAATCCTGAACAACCAAATTCATATATGTTACACATGTAGGGCTAATCTTGTTACACTGTTCAGGGGACTCTCAACAACCTTCGCAAAGTACCGTTTTCTGCGAGTTTTTTGGTCTTTGTTTTCACCGCGAGGGTTGCCAAGCGGTAGAAAATGCCCGGATGTCCCCCCCCCCCGAGGATAGCTATAACTGTGGATTTTTTTCCCTCCAAGTTTTAGTTTTAATAAAACATTTCTTGTGTCATTAGAGCTAATACGTAACGGCCATCGTCGAAATGTGAGCACTGGACTTATATCATATACACTATATACCGACGTTGTACATTAAACACTTGAAAAGAATGGCCACGGAGTTGCTCTAGAGGGCGCCATCTGGTGAAAAAAAAAAACGGTTTTGTCAAGCGAACCTAGCAGATCAGGGGCGGATTTAGAGGGGGCCGAGGCCCCCCTATTTATTTTACCCCCCTGGAAAAATCAAACCCTAGATTTATGAGTGACATTTTTGAAATGATAGGTTGCTATATTAATTCACGTAATGAGTGGTCAGCTTGGTCATGGAAGGTACCTTAAAGGTGAAGTCAAAGCAATCAACATAATGCTCCCAGACGAAAGAGTTCCACATATGAAGGAGAATGCAATTTACAGTTTTTTTTATATTATTTTTCATTCTCTAAATATTCAACTTAAAGTTTTCAACAGTATTATGTAGAAACCATTTTCTCAATTTTCTACAACAGTGGATATGATGTCATATTTTGTTGTTTATGTATGCTGCCCTCAGTGGCATAACAAACGGCTCGCTGAAAATCCAAATAATTCGATCAGTACTATTCATTCAGCCAATCACTGAAGCGGTAAAATGCGTAGTCGTCGCAAAAAAAAACATCTCATTATTGCTTTTCTGCCAATTAGCATGCATGTATTTAGATAAGAGTCAGTAGGTATTTAATGCAATCCGCACGGTCCCAGGCGCAATATAAAAGTTTTAATTTTTACATTTTGGGTCGTTAAAATTGACCATGCATTAATTTCACGGTGATCGTGTTTCATAGTTTCTGTAGTATAATGCAGTGATGCGAAAATCGGAGAAAAATAATTATACATAATACTGATTTACCAATTCGGATTTTCAACTCTTGAGCGACTATGTCTGGAATCTCTATGATACAAGTAAACATACATACGTCATGTTCGGGTCATATTCTGCTTCATACAATGTACGTTAGTGGCACAAGAACACGGCACACGCTGTGTTCAGACCAAATTTTGTTTCAAGCCGCGTCATACATGTTTGTTATAAAACGCATCGAGGCAAGGAGTTTAGATGATATGTTTGCACGACCTCATATTGCCCATGGCATCCCATGGACCTACGAGGTTTGTAGGTCCATGGGCATCCTGACGTGCCATCAAAAGGAAGAAAACTACAGGAGAACGTTTTATTTTACTTCATTGCACTACGTAAGTTTATTTATTATACAATATACATGTACTAGTATACCAGTTATATACTATGATAACACATTTATATCTTCATATTCAAGTGTTGTCATAGTACCGTCTTGGAGTACGTCCGAGGCCAGCGACGAGGTGCATAAGACTGTACGTCTTATTAGTGTTTACAGCTGCAAAGCGAGAGAAATAATCATATTAGTAGAAATCATACAATTGTAACAGGAGGATGGAAGATACTGTATTCACTGGGTTTAATTTTAGCGGGATTAATGTTGCAGGTATATTTACAAGGTATTTAAAGCGCGGTGGTCGTCGCGCAGCGCGTCTTCGAATTTCATGTAAACAAACAATGTATTTTACACGCGTTGTGTTCGTCGCTATGAGTTCCATATCCATGAATTTACCAAAAAAAAACTATTTCTATGATTAACTTCCTTTAGATTCACTGATATTCAATTTAGTACATTTAGCTATGGGTGAAATAAAAAAGAAAATAACATCCAACGAATTGTAGTAACATTGCTGAAACCATCTTTCGAAAGTGTATCCGTATTCTCTTAAAACTGACATCAACAATAAACATTTCTGATTGTCTGAACCGTACCTGTTGGGCACAAGCCACATTTCGCCGAATTGATCAATTATATAACGTGGTGGGTGTTCCACTTTTCCATCCTCGTTCATCTCAATGGGATATAAGAGAACTATGTTGCCATCTTCCTTTCGCACTTCAAGATCATCCGTCAAGTCCCCATTATTGTTGCCTAGCATCCCATGAACTTGTCCCTTGCCCTTGAATTCTTTCTCCAATTCGACAATCACGCGACTTTTTCCATTCCAAATGACTTCGAACAAACCAGGAAACTCTGCAACGAGGAGATTTCTGTTTGCGTTGGCCCATCTTATGGTGAAACTCATTGAACTTTCACGCGAGTACGTCTTTGGTAGGTCATCGCTGATGTCATATGAGTCAACCTGCCGGGAAACCAACGAAATATGTCAGCTGTAAGGTCGGTGAGACTATGAAGTGTAGAACCAAGAGTAACACATACCAAAACGCAGTGGACTGTTTGTACCATGGTACTACTGTTATCAGGGTTGAATCGTAGCAAGGTTCAATACTATATATTCTAATTTAAATCCATCGTTGATATTAACTTACCATGACCTGGTAGCCTTGCAATAGATCAATTTTGTATCCATAGTAGTCAATATGAACGCTGGACACAAAAGTCACGGATTGTCCCTTTTCATCACGACCGTTTACGTGCTTTGACATTACACTAAAATTGGGAACAACTGAATCTTCTTGTACCAAGTAGTACATGCAAGGCCCCTGGTAGCTGAAGTGGAAGCCGTCAAATGTCTCGAATTGGGGGTCACCCAGCTCCCCGGGGCGAGGATCTACAGAAAACAAGTTGTGTGTAGTCAATATCAGTCGAAAAGAAAAAACAAATTTTAATTTTAAGTGAGGAAATCCGGATTCGGGTGCGATATTTGCTGAAATTTCGATGTGTACGAATTTCCAAATATAAAGTTATACAACCTATGAATCGGATGTTTTTTTATTGTTTGAAATTTGAAAAATGGGGAATATGCCTGCCGCGTGGTGGCGCTATATCTTACTTACGCTCACGTGGCCGAATATAAAAAAGATAACAAATCGCATCACTTCAACGTTTTTAAAGAAACGTTTTTTTGTCAAACGACATAAAATGTTCTTCCAAGATAACAATATTCAATCACGTAAACGTTCATTGCGGGTCGAGACTTGAACTTGACTTGTTTGAATCAATACAATTTTCACTAAATTGAGTGTGACTGCAAATCAAGTGCATGTGTGTTTGTCGTAAGAGGGCGTAACACATCCTCGCATACGTCATGTGGTTTTATACGGAACGCCATAAATGATACAAAGACATACACTAGAAATCTCAGTAGTAATTGTAACTCACCAGGTATGCCATTCCAGGTTGCTTCCAACAAAATTAAAAAAAGGTTTATTAGTTTATAAGATGCATTATCATTATCATCACAAAAAATGATAAAATCAGTTGTTTTGGCAAAAAATGCTAAAACATTGGGGCACTTAAGCCAGCCTATACTGACGTTCGTTGTGTTTTATTAAAAAAATCAAACGTACTTTTCATTGTTGGAATTACCACCCTACTTTATTCTTGTTAGGAGACTGAAACAAAGCCCGAAACACGTGTACAAATTTATACTAACACAATCAGTTGAACGTGATTGACTAGCACAAACCTTAAGCAATCTTCATTGTTTTAAGTCAGATATATTGCACTCGTGTTCTGTGACCCTCATGTAGTTCAGATCCAGTCAATGGAGCTGTTCATTTAAAAAAAAAAACTGTCCCAACAAGATTGGGCAGGGGGAACCGTTTTCTATTTTTTGAGAGCATGGGAAAATTTTCTGCGGTCAGGGGTAAATGTACAATTTTTGATTTTTTGAGACACGCCTTTTTGTGACAATTTTGTTCATTTAGTGCTTTATATCGTACAGTAACTTACGTTTAGATTTACAGCAGACAAAACCATTCCTGCACAAATCATCGTTGTTTATCTGTACCAAATCTGGATCACACGGACCAACATCACAGAAAGCCCCTTCATACGCCCTACTGCAAGCATCTGTAGATGAAAAGATGTATTACAGTTTGACCATTCCCACGTGAAATAACATTTACAGATGATTAACACGCGTCTGATTAGAACTAGTACAAGATACGGAACGACTTTATTATACGAGTATATTGATGGTGTTAATCCATCGATTTGATTGGTCCAAACCCAAAATTTGCATATGCAATTAATGGTATATTGGCTGATAAAGCACAGCTAAACAAAGTGGCCCTGGAACATGAATTGACTACAGGTTTAATGCGGAAATAAATAAAACCGGTAGTATTTGATTTTCAGGGAAATATAAGGGTTGAATTTTGGAAAAATATTGAAGAAATACCGAATTAAAATCTGAAAAATTATATAACCATAATATATTCAAGTTGTGAGCGTCGTTGTTTCTAGTTCGTCCATGGCCACACAAACCTAAACCACCGTCCCTGAACACCTGCGGATCGTGCATATATATCGTGGTATAGCCGTTTTCGGTGGGCTTATTGCTTAAATACTATACAGTAAAATTGGGTTTGGTTAATCTCAGAAATGACATTTAAAATAAATATTTTATTTTTCATTCACCTTTACTTTTGTGACAGCATGTCAAACCTTTGCAACACAGTGACCTTCCAGCAGCTGTCTTCTCATCATTCTCACACGAAACCTTGCACTTGCCGTTGATAGCAGGACTAGTTGTACATTCATCCTCATCTGTAAATGCAATGACAGTGAGGAGGTACATTTACAATTACGTCATTGTCACGTTGCATGTTGGGATATGATTATATGAGTGCCGGGCCTTTTTGTGCCAGGCGTGCCCTTTGTAAATACATGTAGGGAGAAATAAGCATTCTAGGCCTAAGTACTACCATAATAATCTTACACCGTCATCGTGTGAAGAGTCTGTGGGTATGATAAAGTAGTTCTCACTTACCAGGAGTAATTTATACGTCCGCGAATACACGAGCAAACTAGTATCACTTATTGTACGTGTTTGTTTCTTTTCCGGATCTCTTGTATTTAGTTTTGTGGTAATTTTTGTGTAGACAAATTACATGTGTTTTGCAGTTTTTTTATTCATAAATTCTTGGAGGATTTTAAGGGTGTAATAGAAAGTTTTATAATGTTTAAAAACCTCAAATATTGCTTACCTGAAGGCTCACATCTCTCTGAAAAGACAAAAAGATAAAGTTACTAATTTGCATAAATCGTTGCATTGTTTATTGTTCTGTAAATATAGAGCAACCGAAATCCGAGTAAGTTTTCGGCCACGGTGGAGAAAAAAGTGAAGTTACAGTAGACGACAATCACCTATTGCTGAAACATGAAAACAACTGGATATTGAGCACGCGACAATTACATATACATGCGAACTGGACTCTGCACTGAACACTGGCAAACGGAATTCACTTATTGGTATATGCACATGGAAGAACTGAACAACAATGTGGACGACAATTATCTATTGTACATGAAAATGGACAATTCAATGAGCAGACGACAGACGCTTATTGTATATGAAAACTAGTCAATGCACTGAACCGACGACAATCACTTACTGGTATGGCACATGGACATAAATGGACACTGAGAAGCCGATACCAAAATATTTGATATGTAGACAACTGGACATTAAGAAGACAACCATTTTCGTTGGTATATGAACATGGAAGCAACTCAACTATTAGCAGACGACAATCACTTATTATAGTATATGTACATAGAGACAACAATCACCTATAATTGTACATGTAAAATGAACTTTGCACTGAGAAGACGACAACAACTTAATAAACGGTATTTTTGGGTACATTGAGCAAACATGTTCAGCCGACAATCGGAGTGGAACATACAATCTCCCTAATGATGGGCGGACAAGTAAACTATTGTGCCACACATCTGGTGAATACGAAACATTGTAGCGCCAAATAGCTACTAAAATCACGTGAAGTTGAACACATCACATAAGTTAACTGCTCTAGAGACCCCATAATCTTGTTGACCAATGTTATTTGCTTATGAGTAAGAAAACAAAACTAACAATCAAACTAGACAATATTACAAATATTATCTATCTGACGAAAAATGCAAATGAAAAATCGCCAATAAACAACATGTCATTACAAACGTCCACCCTGACACGGAATATTTGTAACAACTTCCACAAATATGTTGTTATTATTTACCCAATAAGATACATTTCTTACACAAACAGATAAATTGTACACGACTCCATGTTACAGATAACACAAGTATTTCGATAGCAATAATGTTAGAAAACGAAATGTAAGAATGTATTCCAGTTCGGATCATAAGGTCTCATACCACGTTTATTTTCTGAAACACGGCGTATATCTAGTGAGAACATTGCATACTTTACCATGTATGAACTACATTTTTATTTTTTATTTTTTTTCTTCAGAAATATACCTAAACGAAAACATTTTCTTGTGGTTCGCGCGCGTATTCTAGGTATCATGTGATTTGCGCATGAATTCTATGAATAAGATTTGCGTAAACGTTAGAAGAAATAAATCAGCTGTATAAAAGTCCGATTGTCACGCACTGGATACGTGAAAATTGTTTCCCAACTTATTTCTAGTGAAACACGTGTAATTTCACTTATGTACAAACAAATTTGACATGTGGCGTATGAAAACAAAATTGGAGGAACGTACCGAGCTTGGATTCCGCCTGCACGTGTATGGACGAACAAAACATAGACAGTATTAGTAAAACGCATTCTGAATCAACAAATCCAATATCCAAATATCAATTCCGTAAGACACAAAAATGATAAATCGACTTCAGTATCTTCAAATTCCTGCTTCTGTTGCGTATATATATTGCACATACATTGGTAAGACTTGTTCAAGTGTTGGGCTTAACCTACTTACCCGCTTGATATTGCCAGCACTGATGATAGGAAGAATGGCTAACACCAACAACAAAGTCAACTTCATGGTGAGACTCGGGATTCACAGCTAATTCAAATGCGTTAAAAAGTTAGAACGAGTTCATGAAACGAAATACTGGAATTTGGTGTGACAAATCACAGAACAGAAGTATATTGAATGCGATACTATTATATTAGCTTCATTTCATCAAGAACGTGCAAGAGGGGCGCTCTAGTTTCAAAAACGAAAACAACTTCGTCAATCGAAATATTCGCGTAACTGTTGCTCGGTAACTGGTGTAGCGCATGGAAAATGCTGAATGAGGAGAACGTTGATGAAACCACACGAATCATGTGACAACCAGACCAGCCGATAAGTTATTAAGATCATTGGGGTGATCTTTTTTACATCTATGATAGGATAAAATTTACTAGTAAAATAAAGTAACCTTGAAATCACTCACCTGTGGGTTGGATGCAAGAATGGTGTAACGTTGCACGCGATCATTTCCTTTTATATGGTCTTGGTTGAGAGTTGTTACCAAATGGTGCCTCGTTAACGGCAATTATGTGGCTATTAAAACAGAGCTTACGCTTTATCCTGCTACTGCTGACAACTCGAGCCGTCGAAATTCCAAAACTCTTTTTAGCGTAGTAACACATTTTTTTATTTATCCGTTTAATCGCATCGTAAGTGGGTCGGATAATCCTGATGTATTGTGGATATCTTACACGTGCAATCATTGTCGCGTGTTGATGGAGTGGATTACAACGTCACATTCAACTCAAGTGTCACTTCGTTGTCACATGCGTAATTCCACGTAATTAGTCATTCCTTTTTGCCTGTAACACATTTTCTCTTTAAATCTTGTCAACGAGGATGTAATGAGGGTTGTTAAAACAACATTAATTATATTTAATACTCGTACCAAACAAACCCGATGTTTGAAAAGGGACACACCACCCCCACCACCCCCGTACACAATAATTTCCATCAAATGAATGAAGACCATAATACAATATCCGCAGACGATTTTATCCAGGTCGGGGTCACTTTTAGTGGTCATGCGTATGTGTCGGCGAACTCTATGGGTATAATCAATGGTGCGACGTTGTTTAATGTTTGGTGGGATTGTTATCAAACTGGTAAAATTAACTTTAAAAAGTGACATACAAGTAGATTGGGTTTTCGACCACTGAAAGTGGTCTGAGAATGAGTGTATTTATTCTTCAAAATACAGAGGACCCAGGTCGAGAATTGAACAAACCTGGCTTCTGCCCCACGCATAGTAAAATATTACAGCTGCCTAATTTAACATGTGACAAGTATCCAACGGTCTAAGTATTTTGATCACACCGCAATTATGACAACGGAGGATAATTCCGTCCTTCTGCATGCAAGTAGTAATTGCAGAGATCACAATGTGCCCGGCTGTCATTGTGAGCATGGTGGCGTTATGTTAGCTTCAGTCATAGAGTCTCACTACAATTATGTTACTAGAGTGATGTTATTCTTCTCAGTTAGATGTTAGTGGCGTTGTGATTAGAGTACTATCAATGTAAGACTCAAGCATTTTTCATGAACCAGTTAGGGTTTTTTTTGCATCAATCTGATTCATATCTGCTTCTAGTATTTTTCTTTTGTTTATAGCTATTTTTCAAGGTATAAGATTCGATCGTCGTCATCGCATCGATTCTTTACAACTGTAGTAAACCTTTGAAGAATGGGTCTTTTTATAAACCTATTTTTACTATTCACTGTGGTGACAGATCTTATGACACCAGTAAGTTGTTTGACTCCCATCTTCGTTTAATCTTTGCTTTTGGGTCGTTTGTTGTCACAATCTGGCTCATTTGTGTACTGGTATGCAAATTCCCTTTGATATTATCACCTTCTCCAGTTTTAGTATATACATTACAATAACAGTTTGTTATTGTACGTTGTGTAGTAATAGATAGATACTACATCTACAAGTGATTCAGTTGTATGTATTCACGGATATTGGATATAACAGGGGCTGAGAAAAGTGTAGAATTAAGGGCAAGGACCTTTGTGTAGAGAGGGTGGGTATGAAAATTCCATCGTTCAGCATTTTTCGCTAGCGATGTGCGAATTATCTATTCACGAAATTAACTAAAAAATAACGTCTTATAGATGGTTTTATTGGCCTCTGATTTTGTGTTATGGGCATAAGATCACGCCCATGAAATTGAGTATACACCTTTGTATACAAATAAAGGAAACGGCCATTCGCTCAATAAAAAATTGTTTTGAAAGTCACGGGAACGTTTGTAACTTAATCTTCTAAAAAAATATTAACACGAAAAGTATTCTCCTATATCTCAGTTTTCTGAAAACACATATAGTTCTTAATTACATGCGAAGCAACTGGTAGCGATTTCCCTAATATCATTTCTATTACTCGTTTCACCTTAAACAGAAATGAACGTAAAACAATGAGTGTAATATCTGCAAAACAGCAGAATTAGTAAATTTTGTGTAATTGTTGTATTACAGCGACGTCCATTACGAAACCTACCCAACCCTGTCTGTATCATGAGGTACAAACGTTTCAATGATCAAATCAAATCTTATAAAAACTGATATGAAATGTTAAATATGACAAACATGACATTATAAAATGCCAACAGAGAATTGCGTTATGTGGGGGTGCCACGTGATCTGTTTCTGAGGGCGCGTAATTCGTCCTTGTCGCTGATTACTGTTGGAATATTGGATCCTTGCTATAGTAATACATCTAAATACTAGTACCAATAAGCTCCAATGTTGACTGAACAGTGGATTACCGTTTCTAAAAAATGATGAATGCAGTGTGATAGTTGAATATTACAAAACCAATATTGATGCTGTAATCGTGTAGATTTCCGCATGTGACTGTCAAAAACTTCTGCCACCATGGAAAGAATTTTTACTAGTCTGCACAATTTCTGATTTTACGCATACACAAATATTTTTTTTCTCTTCAATATTATTTAATTAATCCCGTGTGCAAACGACAATACATGTCAAATTACAGTGTACGAATTTAGCTTGAATAGTACTAGTGTGTATTTCTATTAACAAACTGAGTACTAGAATTCACATAGTGGCATTTATTCAACTGTGTCTTCTTTCATATTTCGTGAATGAACTATAGTATCTTCGCCAGCCAAGCTCCATTCGGCCGTCGCATCACCACTGGTTGGCAATCTGATTAAAATCTGATGTGTTGTACGGCGTGTATTTTATTTTATATTTTTTTATTTCACTTTTACTATTTTTTAATTATTTTTTTTTGTTTTTTGTTACGTACATGTTACGTACATTTAACTATCGCCACGCCTTGTGGGCGTTCGCGATTACTAAAACTCATTTTAAAAATGCCAGCAAATAAGTAATAAAGAAAATGTATATTTAAAATAAATAGTTGAACGCAAATTTAAAGAAAAAAAATAGAATCTTATTTTAATCAGATTGCACTGGTTGGCAAATCAGCTTGACTTAATATTGAAAAATTATTACGCACAATAAATTATTATTAGTCTTGGCAGAATTCCCATTATAAACCTGTATTCATTGTTGATGAAGTCACAACACAACGGCGCGTGCAGTGGGGATTTTTTTTATATATATCCTTGACCACAGTACCTCAACAACTGTGCCTCGGCGCACCCTAACAAATCTTTCAAATATAGCTTTTCCTAACACGATTACGCATGGGTTCACGATTACGAACGGGTTCGCAATGACGGGCATGAAAGGGATATGTATTTTTGTTCTGCGCAAGGCTATTTACCATGTTACCTGAACTGAAAAGTTATCATTGTTTCACATTCATTTTTTTTGTGTGTGCAGACGACGTTCCACAAGACACAATGCTTGGTTCGCTGTTGTTTGTAGACAAGTGCGTTTCCATGAAGCTTGCCATTTTAAATTGAATCAAATCTCTGATGCCTACAAATGCAAGTATGAATTATAATATTACAATAATACAAGTAATTATGGTAAAGACCTTCTGAATAAAACTAAAATTTTAAAGTGGAGCAACACGAATTACTTTTAATGCATTGTCACAGGATCGCGATTTACCATTGGTTGCCAAAACTAAGTTGGTTCCATTCATATGCCTAACTACGCATGGATGTACAGAGTCGATATACATATTCTGCTTAGAATTCTTACCCGTATCTGCCGTATCTGGATTCATCTTATAGAACGGGTCACCTTCTTCTATGAGTGGTTTTCTTCTTCTACCTAATTCGATTTCCAAATTATGGTCACTGATTCTAAACTTTGTCACAATTCTTCCCATGTCTTTTATTTTATTTAGGAATTTTTCTATTCCAAAGTCTGTTTGATATGATATGTTCTTAATTTATTTCCCCCATTTTGATTATTTCGACAAATATTTAATTGTTTCTTTTATAGTTCATATTTTTTTTAAATTGATTAATATATGTTATTTTTTGTTTCACTGTATGTTCTTTGAATTGAGATTTTCCCATGATTTTTTTCAATATTTTGTACCAGTTTGTATTGTTTTTAATGTATTTGAGCTCTTGTTGCTTTTATCCTCACTGGGGGGGGGGGGGTCTACCAATTTCACCTCTCACACCAACAGTTACTTTACTCAGTTTTGAAGACCATCTGCAGTTTCTGACAAGAGTACTAAATCATCCGCATATTAAATACATTGTTTTTATTACTAAGCATGATTTGTACCACTCTCAGCACCAAATATATCTGGGAAATCATTCACAATTACATTGAATATGGTTGATGATATGTTACACCCGGGCCCTTGCTTTACACTGGCAACACTTGCTGTGTGAAATCATTTTGTTAAACCATTTTACTTTATATTTTTTATCTGTATTTATTTATTTATTTATTTATTTATTTATTTATTTATTTATTTATTTATTTATTTATTTATTTATTTATTTATTTATTTATTTATTTATTTATTTATTTATTTATTTATTTATTTATTTATTTATTTATTTGTTGCTACCCTTTTAAAGCAGGGGCTCACTTGTACAGAAGCTGCAAAATTAAAGATAAAATAAGTACAAGAAATACATGAAAAATAACATATAACAAAATTTATATTAGTACAATAAAAATAACATTACAATCTACTTATTAGTCTAAAAATGTTGTTCTAACATTCATGGCATAACTAAAAATTCGTTCATAAGTTTGTCTATGGTGTAACATATTTCTTTGTTATAATCTTGAGTGGTATCTCCCAGAAGGAAGCATACTAACTCTTCGTTATTCAGTTGCTGGAAGTTATCAGATAAGTTTGTTTCTGTATACATCGATTTAAGTACCTTATACAAAGTGTATTTGTGTTATATTTTACCGTCTCCATATTAAAGAAGGATAAACGGAAACAAAACCGTGCGTTTTTTGAGAAGTCAACCAAAGTATTCAACTTCTGGAAGGGGCAGATGACACGACTTCTCGTAATATATATCGTAATGTATATCCCCACCTGAAATGGCGCAGGCGGTATAATATTTTCTTACATTATTAGTTGCCTCAATAATTCCAGCGCGACCTCGTCGAAAATTCACCTGATTTGTTATTTCAGTTTAAATTTCTCCAACTAATATTTTTTTTCCAAATTGTTTTTCTGAGATGTAACTTTTAGCGGTATTGTGTGTCGTCTGTAATCACCTAATGATCTCTCTGTTTAGGTCCGTGATTCGCCGCAGCATGCTCACTCGCACATTTGGTTGAGGTTCATGAACATCGACGCCCTCACAGTTCATAAAATCCAGCAATTTCGTTTATTTGGTAAACTTTAATTGCTCATAACTAGTACATGCCCCTTCTTCCATCTCAGATTAGTGAGTCCCAATGTAGTATTAAGTATTCTTCTGAAATAATGTGAAAATGACTCGGAATAAAGCAAAGTGCGATTCTTTCAGTTTATTTGTATGGTACAACAATATTCCACCTGAGATAAATTGGCGATGGACTGTTTAGGCGTCCGGTCATTTGAAATCATGAGTGGTGGCGTGAAGAAATGCAAGCTAGAGACCAAGAGGAAAAAATGCAGGCCAGTTGCTGCAGGGAAAACATGTTGGCACGTTCAGGAAAAATAAGAATATTGAGACAAGACACCGAAAAAAATGCACTGGTCATGCTCAGTCTTCTAGTCACACCATCATTTCAAGTGTTCGACCAATTAGATTTTAAAAACACGCTCAACAAATCATTGACTTTAGGTCCATACTGATGATTCGGAGTTGTGTTTTGCTGTTGAAATTAAATTTGTCTTGACGTCGCACTGTCGCGCGTGGCAAGCGATTTATATATGCCAGGTTTATACTGTTCCAAAATTTCCAATATTGCGATGATACAATTAGTGAACTGGGGGGTCTATCAAAACGTGAAATATTCACCGACTTAGGTGGTACTCAAAATGGCTGTCGTACTTGGTCACCAGACTTGTTATTTTTACTTCGCCTAAATCAAGAAGAAATGGTTGATGATATACATTTCATCTGATGTAGACCCATTCGAAGTATTATAATTATTCATACATTTCTTTGTTTTAACTCCAGTGGGACATGACTGCCATGTGTGGATCATCCGACGCCTGGTGTGACTGTGCGGTGAATGGACTGATATCATGAATCAACGCTTGTGAATCAACTTGAGCCGAACTGAAGATACCTATGTATATCAACTATGTATATCTATCCGCCATCGGAGGCAAGATGTAGTTCCATACATACATATCTTGTTAACCAGAGAACAAATTGAACCTGAAAGTAAACACAGAAGTCGTATAATCGTACTAGAATCTACGAGCTAAACGGGACACCTGGAGGAATAAACACTTTATGACGCTATGGCCACGAACAGTGATTACGATAGTGGCCGCGAGAAGGAACAGAATGGCGATCAGGCAGAGAAAATGAAGACTAAAATAATGTCTGTGTGGAACAATGTGAAGTATGGTGAGGAGATGATTTACATTTTATATGGTACATTGGGGGGCGAATGATCAACGGAAGGAGGCCAACCTACAGGACTGTACTCGGTGCTATTTATATGTATACTACTATTCTCGTGTATTGAGAGGTTATATGCAGAATGCTAATATTATTTCTTGTGCTCTATAAATGAATGGAGAGGTGTAATCGTGAGACCAGGTTAGGTTTTGAGTTGGAGAGCATGCAATTGTTGTCAACAAGATGATTCTGGGCTTGTTGGTTCATTCTGTTGCACATTCACAGGAGCATTTTGCAAATGAAATATATACATGACAGTATGCATGTACAGATTATTATTTTTGTGAAGGGGGGGGGGG